TTGTGCTGGATGGGGTCAAGCTTCTTGACTATTGATGGAGCTGCGCTCATCCAGGCAAGTGGAAGTATTCCATCACACTTGTGCAGTGTTGACAGGTTTTGGGGAGTCAGATGGCAAGATACTCCAGACTGACCTAGTCTTCTCTTCACAAGTCAGTTTCTGGCCAATCCAAGGATGCTGATAATGGTGGATTAAGTAATTATGATACCATTGAATATCAATAATTCATTATCTCCAACAAGGGAGAATCTCACATTCATTACCTGGCACAAATATTACTTGCCACCTGTCAACTGAAACCTGGATATTATTGAGGTATGGGTGCATTTGGACATGGGCTGTTACAGCATGAGGAGTTGTGAATTATACTGAACATTGTGCAAACATCAGTGAACATCCCCATTTCTCATTTTATAATGGAAGGTAGGTTGTGGATGAAGCAGCCGAATATCCCTGGGCTTAGGACACTCTGCCGAGGATCTGATATGACTGACCTCCAACAACCCCACTTACCCTAAATTAGGCCAAGTAAGAGTCTAACCACTGGAGAGTTTTGCACTTTTTCCCATTGATTGCAGTTTTTCTGGGGCTCTGTGACACTGTCTTGATACCAAAGGCAGGTACCCTCACCTGTGGAATTCAGCTCTTTTGCCCATGTTGGAATTATGATTGTATGAGGTCAGGAGCTGAGTGGTCATGGTTGAACCCAGCATCATACCTTTCTTTGGTTTTCATTATATACAGTAACAGGGATGGTTCAAACAGAAAATAACTAAATCAGATGGATGGAGCAGGGCAAGAGGTACTAAACCGGGGCGGGTGGGGGGGAAAAAGGATAAGAAACAAGAAAGAAAATACAAATCTAATAAAGGAAAGGACACTAGCACACTTACAATTAGTGTGGATATTCAAGAGAAACTGCAGAAATATTTATGGATGTTGCATCTGAATCCCAGATTGGTAATACCAATTTTAAAATTAATTTCCCACTTTGAAATCTGTTACTTGATTCCCATCACTAGAACTTTTTTCAATTCAAACCACCTTTTAGTTCTCTGGAATCTAATCATGTACCAACTAAAATCAGGGATACAATTTCCTAGTATTAACGTTCCAAATTCCACACCCCACCCCCAAACCTCTACTTCTCTACCCTTGAAGAGACTCAGTCAACCCAATTTTAAAAGTCAGCTGACCTACTATCCCCTTGTCACACATTTTTCTGATAATATTCCTGTGATCCATCTTATGATTTTACTACACTAAAGGACAGTACATAAATGCAGCCAGTCCTTCAGAACACTCCTTTCCTCACACTACCTTACACTGGCAGCATAAGTTGGCTTCTACACTCCCTGGTCATCTAGATATTCAAAGTTAACATTGTGAATCCACTTGAGACTGAACTTTATCATTTTGGACAGAGTTAGTCTTAAATTTTCCAATGCTAATGGCATAATGGGTTGTGGACATAGTTTTGATTGTTCCTGTGAGCAGTGGGATAAATTGAAAGAAAGGACGAACTTGCACTCATTTAGCACTTTTCACCACCTCAGGACCCTCCAAAATCATTTACAGGCAATGAAGTACTTCTAAAGTGTAGTCACTGTTCTGATGCTGGAAACACAAGTCAGTTTTGACACAGCAAGATCTTATGATGGTAAGATATTTGTTTATTTTTATGTCAAAGGTAGGGTTTGACTACTAGATATTTCTGGTCACAGCTCTGTTGCCCTTTCCTCAGAATAATACCACGAGATCTTCTATGTTCACCAAACAGACAGTGGACAGGAGCTTTTAGCATGTTACCCATTATTTTAATCCCATAATTTAAAAAAGTTTAAGGCAATGTTATTTCAGTAACATTATTCAATGTTTAAGATTGAGCAGCCTATACATAAAAATGTTGATAAGTAAGGAATTATGACAAAATAAAAATACAACTTGACGACATCCTCACCAATTGTTGCATGTATCTCCATGGAACAATGACCACCATACAGTCCTGTCTTCACAACTGAGAATACCCTCCATGGTTGTGTGGTACAACCACCATTCTAAATAGGTGAAACTTCAGACAGATCTAGCAGCTCAAGACTGGGTATCCCCAAGACCATCAGCAGCAGCATTGTACTTTAACAACAACCTGTAACCTCAGGGCATGGCACATCCCCAGCACTGCCATACCAGCAAGGGGATCAACCCTGGTTCAAAGACAACTGCAGGAGGGAGTGATAGGAGCAGCACCAGATATACATGACAATGAGGGGTCAACCTTGTAAAGCAACAAATTAATGCTGCTAGTACACAGTTTGGCAGGCAAGTAGTAAGTGCTGGACAGAGCCAGTGATCCCACAACCAGATCAGATCTAAGCTTTACCATGTGAATAGTACATTTAAACTCTGGAGGCTCCAAAGACATCCCCATCCTCAATGCTGCGGGATCCCCGCACATCAATGCAAAAGATAAGGCCAAAGCATTCACACCAATCTTCAGCCAGAAGTGTCAAGTTGATGATCCAGCTTGGGCCCTTCCAGAGTCCCCAGCATCATAGATCCATCCTGCAATCACTTTCAACTCACTCCATGTGATATCAAGGAATGGTTGGAGGCACTGGATACTAAAAAGTCTATGGGACCTGACAACATTCCAGCAGTATTGAAAGCTTGTGCTAGAGAGCTTGGGGCAGCTCTAGCCAAGCTGTTCCAGTACACAGTTACAACACTGGCATCTACATGACCATGTGGAAAACTGCTCATGTCCTGTAAACAAAAAGCAGAGCAAATCCAACCCGGCCAATTATTGCACCAGTCTACTGTTAAATCAGTGAAGTGATGAAAGGTGTCGTTAATGGTGCTATCAAGTAGCATCTGCTCAGCAACACCCAGTTTGGGTTCTACCAGGGCCACTTAACTACCTCATTACAACCTTGGTTCAAACATGGACAAAACATGAATTCCAGAGGTAAGGCAAGAGTTATAGCCCTTGATATCAAGGCTGCATTTCACTAGATTTGGCATCAAGGAACTGTAGCAAAACTGAAATCAAGGGGAGTTGGAGAAAACTCTCCACAGGCTGGAGTCCCCTACCTGGCACATCGGAAAATGGGTTGTGGTTGTTCGAGGTCAGTCATCTCAGCTCCAGCACATCTCTGCAGGAGTTCCTCAGGGTAGTGTCCTAGGCCCAACCATCTTCAGCTGCTTCATCAATGACCTTCCCTGCATCACAAGGTCAGAAGTGGGGATGTTTGCTGACAACTGCACAATGTTCCTCAGAAACTGAAACAGTGCATGTCCAAATGCAGCAAGATCTGGACAACATCCACGTTTGGACTGACAAGTGCCAGGCAATGACCATCTCCAACAGAGACCATCTAACCATCACCCTTTCACAATCTTCACTGAATGCCCCGTCATCAATATCCTGGGATTAGCATCGACCAGATGTTGGATTAGCCATACAAATACCAGCAGGTTAGAGGCTAGGAATTTTGTAGTGAGTAACTTGCCTCTGGACTCCCCAAAGCTTATACTCTATCTATAAGGCACAAGTCAGGCGTGTAACGGTTTATTCGCCTCTTGCCAGAATGAGCGCAGCTCCAAATAATACTCAAGCAGTTTGAAACATTCTAGAACAAGCCACATCCACAAGGTCCACCAATGCTCAGTAGCAGCTGTGTGCACTTTTCACAAGATGTGCCACAGAAATTCAAAGCTTGGCAAATAACACCTTCCAACCTCAAAGCCACCATCATCAAGAACAGCCGATACATAGGAACACCATTATCAATCAGAGTTCTCATCCAAGGCACTTGGAAATATATCACTGTTTCTTCAGTGTTGCTGAATCAAAATCTTGGAACTCCTTCCCCAGTGGTATTTTGGGGCTACCTATAGCATAGGGAGTGGTTCAAGAAGGCAGTTCACTACAATCCTCTCAAGGGCAACTAAGTCGGGGCAATAAATGCTTTCCCAGCCAGCGATACCTACACCAAGAATAAATTTTTTAAAAAATTACTTTTCCATGCGAGTCAGAAACAAACTCAAATTATATATGTGTTATGTTTTATTCTATTTACAGACATTAGCTATAAATATAATACATCATTTCTTGAAAAGACATTTGTGTTCATTTTAATTCTGTTGATACATTAAATAACATTAAATTTGCAAAGTTCCATCATAATGTAGCTAGCTGGGTCCAACTCATAAAACCCTGTGGCTGTGAAAGAAACTTGGGCTTGAATTCAATCAAACCAAAAAGACAGATCGAATAGGTATGCTTCATTATTCAGCTTCATCTTTCAAACCTGAGATAATATTGAGGAAACAAGTGAGTATATAAAACAACAGGGCATAGGAATAAGACATTTAAGCAATGGTTAATTTTACACCTTAAAACGGTGAACATGAATGATTTGTTTTTGCACAGTTACCAATGAGGAGTTAGCTCATGCATTAATGCTCTTTTCCCACAAACTACACAGTTAGTGATCACTGGTCTTTTCATTTAGCAAGAAAGAAATGAAGGCTGAAGAAAGGAAAAGCCAAAATTACAACTGACATCCTCTCAGACAACTGCAGATATTTCAAACAATGTGATGGAAAAGCAGTTTTAAACTGCATTATCAACAGATGGCCCAAACTGCACATCTATATTCAATGTTCGCATTAAAAAAAGGTCTAATTATAAGCAGGGATGAATGATAAATATATTCAAAAATCATCTTACATATGCACATCCAAGTTCAGAATTCCTTTTATTGTGAAAGACAAAATAATTTTACGCGTGGTTTAGTTCTCATTTCCTCCACCTACCAACCACCCCCCACCCCTTCCCTCCCATTTATTCTGTACAATTTTGAGATATTAGTTCTGTATTTGTTGTGGGTGCAGGGTACAGCTGCAGGAAATTTCAACAATAGCTACAAAAGAAAGCAATCAGTATACGATTCCTTCCGAGACTGATCGTGATAGGGATGTTTGGTGCTGCCAGTTCCTCACACATTGTTGATAATTATCAAGGCTGGTGTTGAGTTCTGTTGGCTGGTTTCGCACTGCACATTCTGGTCAGCAAGCCTGGCAAAGACTCTGGGTGTCCCAAGATTATAAACACCAGCGTGAACAAAACAAGCCTTCAGTGGAACTGTGTAAACCTCCTGCCCCTTCAGCTGAATTTTGTACTGAGTCTGCCCAAGCCAGGTGAATGAACCATGGATCTCCAACATTTCTGGACTGGAAGGAAGAAAAACAAACAAACATTCACAGATCAGCCACAATCTCAATGATAGTAGAAGTTGCTCGATAAGTTACTCCTGTTCCTAAACTAACAATAACTTTTTTTTGAAAAAGCAATGGAGAGGGAGGCGACTAGAAGGGAGACGAGAACAATGTTCCACCTATCACATAAAATTGCAAGCAAAGCTATAACCTATAAAGGCTTCAATAGTAAAACTTCTGATTTAGAGAAAGCAAGTGGAGTTATAGTAGAAGCTGTTTAATGTCAGGACAGCTTCGACCACGTGGAGTAAAGTGGTGGACAAGGGACTGCTTGTGCCTCTGCTCAAAAGGAGAAACAAAGCGGTCTCCCACCATTTTGCTGCAGACAGATGTGTAGACATTGAACAAGGAAAAGATTAGGACGAAAAATACTAAATGTAAGGCGACTGGCCTGAAATGTTAATTCTGTACTCTCAACAAATGGTGATGAACATTAATTTTGGTTAAAACACACTGGAGCAACCCAATTTCAATTCTAATTGTAATTTAGATAGTACATAACATTCAAGTAATTTTTTTTTAAAACTTTGGACTAAATAGATTTGCCCAGTGCAAAATAAATGATCCACAGGGATAAAATTAACAAGCTATCGATGGAGAAAACAAAGAAAGTAATTTTGTGCTGAGAGGACAAGGTAACACACCAACATGGCACCTATATTCAATAAAGGTAACATCTGACCCATTAGTGATACAAAGACTGATGGTAATAAACCTGCAAACAATGGACGATAATGATTCAGAATGGGAGACCCTATCTATCTCGAAAGCTTTTCTAATGAAGTCAAATCCCAAATGGACATTCCTGCCTTGTAAAAATGTCTGACAACATTCAATCGTGCAAGTCTATTTAAGCTTCAGGGAATTCAGGTTTTAGAAAATCCAGAAGAAAGAAATTATCTGGAAGGTAGAAAGAGAAAGACATATCTCTGCCAGCTTTCAAAACTTTAGGAGATCCCAAAGTGCTTTACAGTCAAAGTGGAACTGAACTTGTCATTACAATTGGTGGGTGTTTATTAGAGGAATTTTGTGAAGTGGCTCAAATCACTAACCAGGGTGCTCCCCGGAATGGATGCTGGGAATTTAACTAGTTGAACATTAATAACCAGGATTCAGAGGTGCAAAGCAAAATTCTTAAATTTTCATGCAGACTGAAAGGCAGTTTGGGAAAAACAAAGAAGCTGATTGCGAAGTATCTCGGAATAGCAAGATGAAATTAACACAGACAAGTGTTAAGTACTGCACCCAAACTGAACTGACATCAGTACTGCATAATAATAAAGAAAAAAGTTAGAAGATGCTTTGAGAGGGATCTATGTATTGATAACATTTAGCAGATGTAAAAGGTTGTTCCCACTCCGTTTGAACTCCAACTTGTTATTCAACCCGTTCTGCCTTCCACTCAATCACAGATCTTCCCATGTCAGTTCTCCCCACACTTTCAGCTGCTTAAAACATCTAATTTTTAACTTTTCCCATTTCTGTTGAAAGACCATTGAACTGAAACACTAACTGCTTCTCTCTCTACCCCTGTTGTCAGACCTGAGTATTTTCAGAACTTAGCTTTTAAATCAAAAATAAAATTACATCCAACCAATAGGAGAACAGACAAGGATGAAAAGCTCCAGACTATTCATAGCAAAACTGAAGGGAGTCAGGCACCACTTTACTAGTTACCGAAATGCACACAATAGTGTGACCTTGGTGTACACGTGTATACGTGTGCAAGTCATTGAAGGTGGCAGGACAGTTAAGAAAGCACATTCCCTAAACTTTATTCATAGGGCCATAGAGTACAAGACCAAGGAGGTTTGTTGAACTTGTACAAGTCATTAATTTGGCCTCAGCTGTCTAGCTTTGGTCACGACAGTTTAGGAAGGATGTGAAGGCACTGGAGGGAGACTTGGGAAGTAGGTAGCTCAGAGAAGACTTGATAGAACTATTCAAAATCATGAGGGCTCCAGGCAGCATAATTCAGCAGAAACTGTTCCAAGAACGAGAGGGCACAGATTTAAAATAATTGGTAAAAGCAGCAAAAGCAACAAGAGGGAAACATTTTAATGCAGCAAATGACTCAGATCAGGTACACACTGCCCGAGTGTGGAAGGACAGGTAGGTTTAATCTAGGTTTTCTAAAAGGAATTTGACCATTATCTGAAAATGATATAGGTGAGATGCTCATTTGGAGAGCTGACAAGTTGGATTGGTTGAATGGCCCCTTTCTGCATTGTAACAATTCTGTGGTATGCATAATGAGGCAAAGCATCAAGGATGATAAAGCTGGAATAACTGAGCAGCTGCAAGCTCTCTGGAGGCTTGTTTACGATGGATTGATGTCCAGCACTGGAATAGGAGGAGAACACTTAGACAATTCGTGAGGTCTGTGCTCTCCTCCAGATTGGGTAGATGACGCATAGACTGGGTGACCGCTTTGCAAAGCACCCATGTTCTGTCTGCAAAAATGACCCGGGACTCTGGCTGCCTGCCATTTCAACGTATCACCAGGTTCGCTAGTCAATATCTCTGTCAAAGACTTGCTGC